GAAGGTGCTACAGAAATGGAAGAGGAAGGGCCAATCATTTATGTGAAGTCTTTCTTCATTTCGCATGCACACACCACGGTCAATAAAGTGTCCCGCCCATTGAGATTTGATGCAGAACATGAAACATGGGAGGCCAGTGTGAGGTTCATGTGGGAAGACTTCATCGATCCGACTGCTCCCCTTGAGCTGCTGATTGTAAGTCCTAGCCCGCCAGCGACTATCTATGAAGGGACTGTCGCCACTGTGCTAGTAGTTCAACATCCGCTGCCACAGAAGTTTGCGATTGTAGTGACTGCGCATCCTGACACACAGGAGATCAGACATGCACGAAGCGCAGCCATTTCAGTTGGTCCTCTTGTGACTCAGACGCAATTGGTCGAGGCGGCTGAAGTCCAAGACCTCTGCAGCAGTCCCGGTTGCACCACATGGATTGGACAGCGAGAGCTGCCAGTTGCTGCGGACATCAGAGTTCATGATGGTTTAGGCGTTCAGTTGAAAATACCGGCCACACGAGTTGACCCCTCGTCACGTAGCATTGATTTGATTGCCTCCCAACAGCCGCATGAAACAGCCAGCACTTCGGTTGAGACGGAGGAAGAACATGAGGACATTACGCTGCTTTCTTTACAGGCTAACCATCTGCAGGGAATGTTCACTAGCACTCTGCGATTACTGGGCCCAGCCTTGCAGCAGAGAGATGGCAATTTTGAAGTGCCCATTCCTGACACACATCCAGTGCATGGACAAGACATCAATGACGGAAGACATCTAGATGAATTGTATGAGCACTGGCATCAAGTTACGCCAATCTTCGCCATCTCGATTGAAGAAGCAGCAGTTACTTTCACTTCATGGTTTGTGCATTGTAACATTTGGCCCACTTGCGACAATCCCAGAAGGATCACTTTGTTTCCACAGAGACAAGACTGGGATCGGCAAATCCGTTCCCTTTGGCGAGACCGTATGCAACCTGGCCAAGCCTTTGAAGTCAGCATTATTGCTCCTGCTGACGACGAGGACCCATCGCCTGGTCATATTTTGGTTCACCAAGGGTTAAACAGCAGGCATAAAGGCATACTTCTCAGCACGTTTCATCATGCGGGATCCTCACAGCTGCACTCACGACGTGCAGTAGTTGCGCCAAAACGCATTGTTTTTCCGGATCTGGTTCATTTTGCAGGCTTTCATGTTGAATGTCAGACCAGAGAATTTCTTTGCGTAGGGTTTTTCGGCAGGGAATCACTTGATGAAGTCCGTCCATTGTTTCCTCAGACTGGGGCGCACTTTGAATTGCACCTTGTTGACTGGACATTAGTGCCGACTGCCGCTGGACAATCATGCCCTCTTGAGGAAACTGAAGATCATGACATCTCATCGTATATGCAGGCTGACCGACATAGATTCACAAGAGCACCACGCACTTGCGGTGTCAATCTGCCGGAACAACCGCATGAGAGCAGCCCTTTCCAGTTCCAAATCAATGCGCCAGTATTTGTACCTGGAATACCCTGGGATCTTCACACTCATGATGAATTTATACAAGATTTGTTTGAGGCATGGAATCAAGTAGCTGTGGCATGGGAGAATGAGGAGCGATCCAGTTTGATTCTGACATGGTTTGTTGATCACCAATGGCCAAACCCACATGGACGCACACCACGAAGTGTGCGGCTCTTTTCGGATTTGCAAGATTGGCGCCGGCAGATCTCGCAGGCGTGGCAAGACCATGTAGTTCTCGGACAGGAACTGGAATACCACCTTGTCACTCCTCAGCCCTACACTGTTGATCGCCGTATTGCAGCGCATGTAATAGTGATTCAACGACCAAATGAACAGTGGGTCACCAATGTCGTCACTTTGTTTGATGAACGGACTCTGCAGACGACTGTGTCACAGCTTGCGATCACTACCCACGAACACATCTTGCTTGATAATCTTGCAAGGGTTTTTGGCATTTTTGATGTTTGTTTTGGTACATCGCCAACACTCCTATGCCATGCCTGGTACAGGGACCTTGCCCTGGCGGCTGGAGCACCAATACCAGGTAGGAGTGGTCTGAGCATCAATGTCCTTGTTAGGCCGCGACCAATTCCACTTCCAGCTGAGGTTTTGGAAGAACGAGATGAGCACAGCCTTCTTGTTTTGTCAGGAAAAAGTGTGCCTTTCCAGGATGACTCACAGCATGCGGCATCAATTTCTGGTGTTGATTTTGAGGACGCGGCCTGTGACAGGAACAGCGCTGCCCAGATTGGACCATCAGCTCTTATTAGCGGTTGCAAAACCGAACGGATTGCGCCCAAGAGCCGGCAGTGTAAAATCTCAGATCAGCCCAATCAAGGTCTCGCACAGAATGCTGGCTCAGCTCCACACTTGACGCCAGTGCCGATGCCTACACATGCAGCTGCACCTGTTGGAATTCCGACCTTTGTTTTTGACATGATGCGTGATTTGCAAGCTCACATGCTCCGCACAGATGGAAATCAACAAGGCTTCGTAGTCAGAGTCTGGTATATCCACCACATACATCGTAGGATGTCCAGGATTGCAAGATATCTGCACTTATCAGGTCCTCCTCATCTGTGGCAGCCGCGCATCGTAGCTCTCTGGGCAGACAGATTAGTCCCCTTTGAAGCAATCGCAATTTGCTTGGCCCAACCCAGACCTTTCCGTACGACCCATGAACAACACCTTGCGTTTGATTTAATTGTCACACAGGGTGTACAAGAACCAAGACGGTCAGGTTTGATCTCGGTTTATCCATCTCACCCTGACCCCACATTTCCGCAATTTGCAGTAGCGGTCTCCTTCCGGCCACAGGTCAGTGGAGAATGGTTGGTCAGAAAACTTGCTTTTCAACAAGTTTGCCAAGTACACAGATGTCAGATTTTCCATAGGTGGAATGAGATCCCTCAGACGCCAGATCTGACACACGAGATGTCCAATGGCGATAGTTTTGACATTCATATCCATCGCAATGGCCCCGGACTAGCTGAGTTGCAGCCCTCACCGCAGCCATCACATTTGGATGTCCATCCACCTGATGAGGATCAAGCAGCTGCAACTGAGGAAGAGGCGACTGAAGGACCGATCCTTCTCCAGCTCCACAGCCTTTTGCATCAGGGAGATCCTTCCCTGACGGATATCAAACCGTTGACCAGACTTGTACCTGTTCCTCGACTGAGGTGCCGATCCGCATTATTGGTCTAGGAGAGCTGAGAGAACAAGTACCATCATTTGTATCTTTCACAGGTCTGCCCACGAAAGCTCGCGTTCAGCAAGAAATACGCAGTTTCGGTCACTCATGTACAGTAGAAGTAGCTGCAAATCACACCCTGGCCATCTGTCTTCCGGACCCTTGGCCGTTTGAGGAAGACAAGCTGTTGCTTTTGTTCACGGATATTCAACAGACCTTCCCGGACGAAGATTCAGCTTTCCTGACTCTGACTGAGCAAACCGATCTGTCCGAAATCCAATTGATGGCATTGCTTCATAAGTTTGGTTTTGAAAAAGCAGTGATTTGCAAAACCAATTTTTTCCATGCCTCTTTTCTTGAAGTAACCTTCCAGCAAGCAGGTGGTGCTTTGGAAGCTGTCCCCAGTGGGGAAAAAATCCAGAAACCATGGCCAGTTTATCCCCGTGGTGACCGAATGAAGAATCGTCCTATGTGGACTGCCGGACCTGACGCTCCACTACCAGCATGTCTTTTGGATTTGGGTGTGACCTTCGATGATTTGCATGCCTTTTTTCATTGTGAAAATGATTATTTATGTCAGCTCACTGAGGGGTTGCCACTTCCACCAGTGACGCAGGAAGCCATTGCGGGACTCAAGAATCATTCACAGTTTGATAGGCTCATCATCTATGCAGATGGATCGTCGCAGTCAAGACATAAACATGTTGCGCCGGCCCTCAACGAAGAGATTGATGTTCCCGATGCCTGGTGCTTCGTTGTGCTTGGAGAAACAATTGTAGACTCTGACACGTTTGAGTACACCCTGTTAGGATGGCATGCACATCAGGTCAGATATGATGACAAGCATCAGTGGCACATCGGGGCTCACCATGTCGGTTCTGCTATCGCCGAGCGAGAGGCCCTAACTTGGGCCTTCATTTGGAGACTAGGATACAACAGCTGTATTCCAACTGTGTTCCGTAGTGACTCCTTGCTGACCATCGGACAGGCTGACGGAACCATTGGCTCTCCTGTTTGTGACCAGTCCTTCCAAACATTGAGAGGATGCTATCAAATTCTGAAGTCTGCTTTAAAGGATGATGTAGAGCTAGACCATGTCTATGGACACCTGAGCGAGCCCTGGAATGAGCTCACTGATGCTCTTGCGAAACAGGAAGCCAAAACAAGTTTCTTCCTGCCGCGCCCAGAGTTTGACCTTCCAAAATTGCTGCCAAAAATCCCCTTCTTCTGGATGATCTTTGATGAATCGCATGGATTACCTGCTTTCATAGGTACTGGCTTTGATATTGCGTCACCTGCCCTGCCATCACCCATGCCAGCAGCCTGTAGTAGTGTTTCCGTTGTACTACCGGGCAAGACGGTACACCACAAACTCAGTGTTGCCACAGCGAATGTACAATCCCTAGGTGCGGCTGAACAAGGATTCGCCGGGAAGCTTGATTACCTTCGCACTCAGGTCCTGGAGCTGCACCTTAACATAATTGGGATTCAGGAGACTCGTTCTTCAGAGGGTGCTTCGCTGAAACAAGGCATTTTGCGGCTATGCTCAGGCAGTTTGCAGGGGAAGTGGGGTGTTGAATTGTGGATTAATTTGCACCAGCCTTTTGCCCACATCAAAAAGACTCCACTCTTCTTTCGAAGGCAGGACTTTCATGTTGCACATAGGGATCCACGCCGTCTGCTTGTCCATATCCAGAATGAGCACTTCCGATCGTGGTGCCTTGTAGCACATGCACCGCAAAGTGGCATCGCACTCCGAGACAGACAAACCTGGTGGGAAGAGACACGTGAGATCATTTTGAGGTTCATGCATGCTGGTGAGCAGTTCTTCATGTGCATTGACGCGAATGCGGGGCCAGGTGTGCCGGATGGCATGTGTGTTTTCAACCCTGGTTTTCGTCACTCGAGTGGGACACCTCTTTTGCGAGAATTTCTGGAGGAGTTTGACCTCTGCCTTCCAATTACAAGCGAGGCCCACATTGGCACAGTCACCACATGGACGTCGCCTGATGATGGAGAGTACACGATTGACTTTGTAGCCATACCGAGAACTTGGCAGGCGGCGTGCCATTATTCTTGCGTTTTACAAGAGTTTGACCTTGCCAATGTGAACATTGACCATTCAGCAGCAGCGATTGAGTTGCAATGGGCCCAGACCTCTGCCACTCTACCGAAATCACACACTGCACCTGAGGTCTTTGACCGCACTAAAATTGGCAAAGATATTGATACTCTTTTGCAGCAACCCATTCAATGCACATGGCAGGAAGATGTCGAAACTCAGGCGAACAAGATCGCTTCGCATTTTCGAACGCAGCTTGCATCCAGCTATCCTCAGAACAAGCACAAACCGAAGAAGCCCTATGTCTCAGATTCACTGTGGAACCTTCGCTTGAGGAAGATCGCAACTAGACGGGATCTTCGACAGTGCAGAAGACTCCTCCGTAGAGAAACAGTTGCACGTATCTTCTCAGCATGGCGCAATGGCCCTGATCAGAAAGGCGCTGCGGACCTCTCATTCAACTACGGCACATCGCTGCGTATCATTGGTCTTCGCAAGTATGTTGAATTTGCAACGATTGCGAAACAGTTGCGTCAGGATCTGAAGCAAAGCAAGCAACAGAATCTCCAGGAAGTCTTGCAACAGGTTGACCCTGCCACCCCTGCATCCAGGATTCAACAGCTGCTCAAACCTTTTAAAGGACCAAGCAATAAGCTGCGTCAGGGATTGGCACCGCTGCCCTTGATCAAAGATGAGAAAGGAGAATTTTGCAGGACAGCTGAGGATGCGCTCCAACGCTGGATCACCTTCTTTGGGGAAATGGAAGGCGGTGCCAAAACCACGCAACAGGAACAGTGGACACGCTGGAGATCAAACTTGCAATCATTCCTGCAGCATGAGCTAGCGATTCCAGTTGAGGAAATTCCCACGCTGTGTGATCTTGAGCATGCATGCCGACGCTCCGCGGCAGGGAAGGCAACTGGACTTGATGCCATCCCTTCAGAGATTTGTAAATTCTGCCCCCGCGCGGTTGCGCTCCAATTGTACAGTCTCATGCTTAAGACGTGTACGCATGGACATGAAGCACTGGCACATAAGGGAGGGATTTTATTGCCAATCTGGAAGGGGAAACAGCTCAAGGACCAGTGTTCAGCCTTTCGTTCCATTCTGCTCTCATCCTGTTTGGGGAAAGTCATGCACAAGGCTGTCCGCACGAAACAGCTGGACCTCTACCAGCAATTCTTACATCATCAACAGCTGGGAGGACGACGAGGGACACCTGTGACGCTTGGCTGTCACCAGGTCAGAGCATTCCAGCGCCTGTGTGTATCCAAGGGACAGCCTTCCGCCCTGTTGTTTATTGATTTACAGGAAGCCTTTTATCGGGTGCTGCGTCCGCTAGTTGTCGATGGACCAGTCGATGACGAGTCTGTGGCGGCCATGGCAGCACGCATTGACCTTGATGATGGTTTCTTGCATGATCTCCATGCGGCGCTGCAACAGCCATGTGCTTTGGAGGAAGCGGGAATTCCCAGCCACTTGAGACGGGCCATCCGTGCCTTGCATACTGACACTTTTTTCAAGTTGCCAATGCAAACTGATCAGGTCGTCACTCAGATTGGCACCAGGCCGGGTGACTCTTTTGCAGACGTCATCTTTGGTTTCTTGATGGCAAAGGTCCTCCGAAAGTTCCAACAGGCTATGGATGCAGAAGGTTTGCTCATGCAATTACCGGAAGCCGACTCGCTCAGCTTTGAAGGCATTGCTTCCGAGGCGAAGGTTTCCTTTGTGGGGCCATGCTGGATGGATGACCTTTGCGTATGCCTCACTGCTGCAATGAATGAGCAGCTCCACTCAGCCGTAGGATTTGCAACAGGAGTGATCTTGGACATTTTCAAAGGTTATGCGATGACACCCAATCTTCAGCCAGGGAAGACCGCGATTTTGTTTTCACCACGTGGTCCTGGCACCACCCGAATGAAACGCAAAATGTTTGGACCTACGGCAGATGGTCATTTCCTCAGCCTTGGAGAACATCACCCATATCGAGTCCCACTTGTGACTGAATATACCCATCTGGGAGGAAAGGTACATTTCTCTACCAAGCTTCGGAAGGAGATCAAGACCAGATTGGGTCAAGCACATCAAGAGTTCAACCGCCATCGGAAGCTCCTTTATCAAAACCGACACTTCCAGATGGACAAGAAGAGGGAGCTCTTTCACAGCTTGATTTTGAGTCGCCTTCTCTTTGGCGCAGAGACGTGGACGTTTCCAGATCAGAAAACGAAGGACTGCCTTCATGGAGGAATTATGAAACTCCTGAAAAGACTTCTGTGTTGTCCTGGCCACAGTCCCATCTCTGATGAAGAAGTTCTTTACAGAACGGGAATGCCATCACCCACAACCATGTTGAGATTGCGGCGACTCCGGTATCTGGGCTCGCTTTTCGAAGTAGGTGACACGGCATGTTGGGGGTTGCTCAATCAGGACTATGAATGGTTGTCTCTTGTCAAAGATGACTTTAGATGGCTTTGGCACCAACTACACCATTGCTGCAACCTTGGGGATCCCGCAGCCCATATGCCGCGATGGTTTGAAGTGATCCAGTTCCATCGAGGGTATTGGAAAAGACTTCTCAGGAGAGCAGCCGAACACTCGATTGGAGTGCAGACAAGGGAATTCTTTGTCGCAACGGCGCACCTGAGGTTCCTGGAGCATCTTTGTCAAGGAGGTTTTATACATCCGGACAAGCAGGAGAGCTTTGAAGACAGAATGCATCCCCAAGCCTACGGCTGCATGAGATGTCAAAAAGCATTCCGTTCATTGGGCGGAGAAGGCGCCCACATGCATCGCACACACGGAGAAGTCCATCCTGTGCGACATCTTATGGGAAGTACACAATGTGCAGCCTGTTTGACGGAATATTTCACCATGGGCAAGCTCAAAATGCATTTGATCCGCTCTACAGCCTGCCGCATCACCTTGATTGGGAGAGGTAATCATGAACCGGCACAACCAGGACTTGGCTCTACGGAGGACACAGAACGATGGTCACGTTGGGATAACCGGTTACCACCGTTGGCAGCCGCTGGACCTCGACTACCAGATGTCCCCGGAAGTGACTTTGACACCGAGCACCGCGAGCTCTATGAGGAGATTGTCCTGGGCATTCTGGACATTGACACGGATGATTTCGAAGCCTTTGCACGGAGTTGCATCCAGAAATATCCTATTTCATGGACTCGATGCCGTTTGACCTTGCTTGAGGTACATCAGCAATGTGCGACTGGCTTTTTGGACGTGTCAACCACACACATGGATTCATGCATGGCCGCCCTACACAGACTCTCACATGAAGCTGCCTGGCCCTTCCTTGCTCAATTGCATTGTGCTTCCTCGCCGTCAGTGCCTTTGCAAGAAGAGTTGGACAGACGCATTCAGGTGGCACAGATTGTACAAGCACGACCTAAGATTCCCCGTCAACTAGGACGCGAACGAGTCTTCTTACACGCCTTCTCGGGTCGTCGCAGAGCGGGCGACCTACAGCACTATCTCGAAGCTGCCTTTGCACGCAACGCAGATGGTGTTTTGCTCCATGTCGTCTCTATGGACGTCGTGATCGACAAGGAGTGGGGCGACGCTTGTCGCTCTGCGACACGAGATTTTTGGCTTCAAGGAGCGTTATCGGGGTTTGTACAGGGCGGTTTGTGCGGCCCACCCTGTGAAACTTGGAGTCAAGCTCGTTTTGTCAACGAGAACGCTGGTGAAGAGCGTCAACCTCGACCTCTCAGGTCCTTGGAGTGGCTTTGGGGACTGCCATCCCTGTCACTCCGTGAGCAGGGACAGGTAGCTGTGGGCAACGAGCTGCTGGTCTTCTCCATTGACCTTCTGATTTGCCTGGCGAGGTCTGAGGGAATAGGAGTGCTTGAACATCCAGGGGAGCCGGCTGACGAAACCAAGCCCTCCATCTGGCGTCTTCCGATCATCCAAATTTTGAGGCAGCTACCGGGGTTCGAGTTCGTAGACTTTGCACAGGGGCTTTTAGGCGCGAAGTCGCCAAAACCCACTAGGTTTCTAACTCCGAACATGGATAGCCTGCCGACATTTTTGCACAAGCATCGTCTTTGCCCTGATCTTCCGCGTACAGCGGCGATTGGTAAGACTGCGGAAGGCCAATGGGCCACCACGAGTCTTAAGGAGTACCCACCGGCCTTGAATCGAGCCCTGGGGGAAAGCATTGCACACCACCTTCTGCAACAACCTTCTTGTCATGAAACTGTGATTGATGTTGATTTTCTGGCCCGTTGTCGTTCCATGCATGCTTCGGATCTTGGGGAATTTTACGGACCTGATTATCATAACCATCACAGTACGAAAGGCAGAAGATGAGTGCTCAATTTGCTTTGTTAATTGGTTGCAAGATACAGTTCCCGGAATTTGAAGCTCGCCGCGACTTTCATAGTCCCAAAAGGCCGAAGGAAAAAAAATATATGGTATATGTATTATATATATATATGGATATCCATGTATAATGATGACTTGGCTGATTTGCCTGGCAGCCAGAGTTTCTTTTGCGGTTCGTCAAGGTCTCCAAATGGCGGGACGAGATTCGAGACTGGCGCAAGCTGAACTGTTTTGCCACAGCTGAAGAGTGGCAGGTCTGGCGCCCTGGCGCCGGGCCGGTTGTCGCTAAACGACCAATGGGATGTTAAAAACGACAAAAACCATAGGAAAACCATAGGAAAATGGAGGTTTACCCTCTGGTTATGTCAAAATAGCTATTGAAAATGACCATTGAAATAGTGGATTTTCCCATTGAAAATGGTGATTTGCCATAGTTATGTTAGTTTACCAGAGGGTGATGTATATTTATTGTATACTTACTGCATACATAAATATGATATCAATATGATTTTATATGGATAGCATTTCAATACAACGTGTCATGAACATAGTCATCTTAAAGCCATTTTATGAAGTGAACTGTTTGATGGTTGAATCTCCGCCAGGAACTGCAGGAGTCTGCACCGGCGCCTAAAACGCCGCGACTTTACTCCACGCATCTGAGGTGCCAGGAGAATCCCGTTTTAACTCCATGGAGGTAGCTGGGTGCTTCGCTGGGAAAATCATCGAACTATGGCGGATTGGTAAAATTGCCATGAGTGCCAGAGGGTAAATGGTAAGTGCGAGCAAGCATATTGTTGTTTTTTCAACAAGACAAACCACTGGTTTGAATTCAGCGGGTTGATATTTTGGAAGAAATATAGACTTTATGTATGTTCATGTCATGTCCCACTAAACGTGGCGGTTGTGCCCGTAGAATGGCGGTTGTGCCCGTAGAATCATATATAAGTGTAAGATACATATATATATATATATACATATATATATATACATTGTAATTTCCAGACCACATCTCTCTGAACTTGTGCGAGACTGTAATGCAAGGGTTGACAATGGGTGTCAACTATGGATTCAACCTTGGGAGTCACTACCTCATGAGGATTTCGGCTCTGGGTGGCCGTCGAGGGCTTAGGACGCGACTTGGGAGTCGCCTGCACCTTTCACTCGTGCGAAGCCATAGGAAAAGCGTTTGAGCTCCGGTGGGCTTTGGTGTTGGAGAAGTTTTTCTTAGATTGGCTACCAGTGCAGGTGATTCTGCATTGGTAGCGGAGCTACCAGTAGCCGCTCAGCTATCAGTTCCTTTTTCTGGTCCAAACTGTGAGTGGAAGCTACTTGATCCAGGATGTCAGGGACAACCACTGGTGGGGATGGAGATCAACCAACAGTGCCTGGAACTCCGAATGCGTCGTTGTCGCATTTGCCATGGACCATGATACCAAGTTTCCGCCCTGGGGACACAGACATCAATGAGTATACCAAGAAGTTGGAATTTCTGGCAAGTCTGTGGCCGCCCGAGCACTTGTCGCATCTAGCTCCGAGAGCGGCCATGATGTGTGAAGGCAGTTCCTTCAAGCGTGTGATGAGGCTGGACCCAGCCAAACTCAAGGTGAATACCACCGACGGCGTGAAGCTGTTAGTGACCACGTTAGGAGGAATCTGGGGCAAAAGCAATTTAGAAGAGAAATTCGAACGTTTTGAACGAGCCATTTACACAACAGTGCAAAGGGCCGATGAATCGCATGACAGCTACATGGCACGTCACGATTTCCAATTCGAAGAGTTGCTTCAAATGGGGGTTTCTTTTGCAGACATCAGGGCCTATATTCTTTTGCGGAATTCTGGTTTGGGATCTGAAGATAAGAAGAAGCTCATAGTGGACTCCCATGGCAACCTGGAATATCAAGCCATTGTCTCAGCACTGAAATTGCTCGGTTCCAAGTTTTTTCATGAAGTGCAAGCGGGAAGCAAATTTCCCAACCGCGTCAAGACGTATGACGTCAATGCCGTGTTTGATGAAGACTCGGGATCAGGCTTTCCAGAAGATGACCATGTTTTCATGGGTGAAACCTGGGATGAATCGGAGATTGCATATGATGATAATGATCCCGATGCCATCGTTTGCATGCAATTCGAAGAAAGCTTAGTGGATGCATTGCAGTCCGATGCCGACCTTGCAGCCTGCTACAACACGTACCTCGATGCCCGAAAGAGGATCAATGACCGCAGTCGCAACAGGGGTTTTTGGGGTAACAGTAAGGGGTCCATGTCCCAGAATAAAGGCAAGGCAAAAGGTAAAGGCAAAGGACAATTCCGTTTCCGGAAGCCATTGGCGCAGAGGATCTTAGAGTCCGAATGCAGGCGTTGTGGTGCCAAAGGGCACTGGAAAGCTGAGTGCCCGCTCAACCGAGCGAGCACTCCCAATCCGAATGCTGCAGCTGCCTCGAATGCCGGTGCTTTCACTGGCGCCATCGTCACCGGAGATGCCCATGGAGTTGAGGATGACATGATCCTTGTGACTGAGGCCCCCCACATGCATGCTCAGGTATCCAAGGGTTTGCACAGTTTTGTTCATATGGTCCAAGTGTCGGAGTCCAGTGTTCCTTCCCCGACCGCATTGGCCAGGCTTGTGAATTCCCTGAAGAGTCGCCTAAGCCCTCCTCGGCCTGATTTGAAGGTGCCGACAACAGCCATGATCCAACCGGATCTCACCATGGATGTGCACTTTGTAAGTCACGGACCCTTTGGAATTGTAGACTTAGGTGCCAGTCAAACCGTCATTGGACAACAACAGGTGTCTGATCTCATGCAAAGCTTGCCAAAAGATGTTGCCGATCAAACGCAGAGGGTCCCCTGTGACACAGTCTTCCGATTTGGAAATAGCAGCACGGTAGTTTGCCAATATGCTCTCCTGGTCCCCTTGGCCAAATGGAGAGTCAAGATCTGTGTTGTTAAGAGCCAAACACCATTTCTCATATCCAATAATGTCTTCCGGACGTTGGGGGCCAGGATCGACACCGATCAAGATGCTGTGTTTTTCTCCAAGATTCAGATTCACATGCCTTTGAAGTTGTCAGAAAAGAAGCTGTACTTGCTGGACTTTTGTGAATTGATTCGCCGTAGTGCACAGGCAGGTGGTCAGGTGTCCGAGGTCCAAAACATGTCTCACATGCCGATCATGAGTGCCCAGGGTTTTTCAACTGTAAACACTGAACATGATGAAAACCATAAAGCCTCTCATCATCCGAAGCCAGAAGCTGAGAACACCTCCGATCACCAGCCTTTGGTGTCAAAGGAGAACCAAGCATCCGTGCCTCCCAGTCCGTGCATTGTGAGTTCGCCGCTGTTTCATGGCCATGTCGAGCTTGGCCGATCGCTTTCAAGCCTTGCAGGTGCAGCAGAAGAAGGCCGAGTTCATGTCGATGTCCTTCGAAGACCTGTCACAAATGAGGGTGTCGTTTGGGGAAACCAAGGTCAATCAGACCTTTCTGGAAGTGATCGAGGGAGACCCAAAGTATGTTCAGTGGTTTGCGAAGAAATACCAGAACAGCCAGAAAGAGTCCCACCAAGCGTTCCTGTTCTTTCTGAGCCTCTATGTGGAACGCAAAGAACTGGAGAAGGGACTCGAGACACCGAGAGGAGCCCCGACATCAAACCACCTCAAGTCCAAAGCCAAGGCCAAGCCGGCCGTGAAGAATCCCTCCGAACATGGGAGCCAGGCATCCTGGTCCGACCAAGAGGATCCATGGGATGTGATGCAAGGAGCGCAGATGATGCCACTGCCAATTCAGGAAGAGATCGAGGACAATCGTCGCCGACTCTGCAA